AAAAAAACAACAAGGTTTGTATAGCTATACAGATCCCAATGACTGCCAGCACATCCGCCCAGAAAGTCCATTAAGCACACCCAAGTTTGAGTGATCTACAAGTTACAAGCGTTTTCAACATTTAACAGTTCATTATTATGTGCAGTATAATATAACAAATTATACACTGAACTATGATAATCTATACTAGTATCTATAATAATAGACAAAAAATTTGCAATGTTTTTACACTTTTGCAATAGTTTTGGGCACTATTACACAGTCATGACTTGTGCCACTCTGCCATAGTACGGTTTTTGCTCCCTTTCATACCAGAATAATTTTGTATACTACTCTGAATCAACAAAATTCATGATCCTTCTCATTATCAACCCTGATCAGATTTTACCCCCGAGGAGTACTCAAAAAGGTTTAATACTGTATATACTGTGGCTCGAATAATTAAAGAAACATTTTAATGGAAAAGTGAGAACCTATGTCCTAATTTAAAAAAGTGACTTTTTATCAAGCTGACTTATTTGCATAACCTCAAAAAATTTTTGATTAACTTCCAATTATGATTTAATGTAACCTTTTACAATTTTGTTAACTTTCGGAAAACAAAGTGGAAATGGAAATGGATAAACTGGGAATTTTTTTTTGGGCTATCATGCTATTACAAAAGGCGAGATGTTTGTAGTTTGGCTGATTGGATGTTCAAAGACAGAAAGGCTTTCTTCGGTTGTCAACCATGTTTATAAACAAATTTGGTGCTGTTGATATTTGCGGAAGTTTCATGAAACTCTTAGAAGAAAAAAACGCATATTTTTTGCAATTATTTATCAAACAAAGACGGAAAATTATGGAATTATCCCGTTTCTTACTGATGAAGTTGTTTTAGAAATCAAAGCCAACTGTGTCGACCAGCGAAATGCGAAAGCTAACATTTTATCCGAAGTTTCGGCTATCCCCAAAAATTGCGGTTCTGTTCTCCCTTTCGCTAAAAATAACTTAGCCTAAATTGTAGTATTTTACCCAGCCGCAAGTTGCGCTGTACAACAACAGCAGCTGTAAAAATTTACTTGCATTTTAATGGTGGTAAATAGTCAATTTTAATGGTGATAAATAGTGAAAATAGAAGTATGTGATAGCAAAAAAAATACCAGCCTCAATTTGGATTACATTTCATCTCCTGTAGCATAGCTATGTTACAAAGACACTCGCGCCGATTCGCAAATACTATTGATGAGCAGCTTTCGCAAAAAGGCAAATCCTTGAGAGAATCTACGGACTGCAATTTCGAATTTTTTTGCTCAAGGTGAATAGAGCTTTGAACATTCTTTTCGTA